TGTGTGTGTGTGGGGGGGGGGGTGGTCCATGGTCACCTGAACAAGAGGGAGGTTCTGTGGCTGAGTGACTGTTGCCATGACACCGTGTGTGTGGGGTAGGAGGGGGGTGTCCTGTACCCGGGTGACTGTTGCCATGACACTGTGCAGGAGGGGGAGGTCCAGGGCTGGATAAATGTGGCAGCAGGCCACATGCAAAGCTATTGCCCAGGACCTCCGTTCTGCTACTGCCCAGTGCCCCAGCAGAGAGGACAACAAAGTTCCCATGGAAGGCCCATAATGCCCATAGCTGCCCTGGCGATACCTTCTCCCCAGCTCACGCTGCACCATGGGAGACTTCAGAGCAGGAGACTGCACCCTACTGCAAGGTGATTCAGTTGCTGGTTGTTCAGGAACAGGCTGTGCTGCACTGTCTGAGGGAGCCCAGCCGGTCTGTCCCAATCCTGGCAGAAGCTCTGTTGTGACCCCACAGGCCACCCCAGCACTGTGCGCCCAGCAGGGCTCTTCCCTTCCCTCTCATCAGCAAGAGCAGCCTGCCTCAATGAACCACCACAAGAACAATACTGCACTCTTATACAATGCTTGCCACCAGCAGGTCTCAAAGTACTTTACAAAAGAGGTCAAGAGCATTATCCACATTTTACAGATGGGAAAACTGAGGCACAGAGATGGGAAGTGACTTGCCCAAGGTCACCCAAGAGGCCAGCAGTAGAGAACACAGGTTACCAGAGTCCCAGTCCATTGCTCTGTCCATTAGAAACAATGCTGCTTCTCTCTCAGCCCCACGTGCACTGTCCACCACATTTTCCACCTGTCCCTTTTGCTTTGTTCTGCCCCACCATCCTCCTGAGCATCACGTCTCTCAGGGTAAGCCCTCTATCTTGGGGGATGTGCTCAGATAGCCAGGGACTTCCCATTGTTGTGATGAATACCACTAGGACCTTCCACGCACCTACAACCAGGTCGGAAACAAGGTGCTGCCAAGCAGGAGGCATGGTGGAGCAGAGTGGGGAATGCATGCTCGATGGTCAGAGGAGGCTCCCCAAGCTGCCTTTGGTGCTAGAGATGAAGGTGGCAAGCAGTTGCCATGGGCTTCTGGGGGCTGATGTCTCCAGGCCCAGTCATGCTGGCTTGGCGAGTCCTATTGTCAGAACAGCCTGGACACCACTCCCGGGTGGGCTGCTCCTCGTTTACAGGGAGGGGATGTTCCACACTGGTCACCCCAGTCCATGTCCCACCCCCCGCCCCTTCCCTAAAAACTCTATGTGGCCACAGCCTGCCTGGGCATGCGGTTCCTCTCACTGTGCTGCTTGTTCCTTCCTTTTCTGGTGGCGTCTGGGATGACGAGTGCGTTTTTGCCCTTGGAGAGTTTGCCCTTGCGGCGCTGCCGGTCACTGCACCACACCCGCTCACAGTACTCCTCTATCCGCTGCAGATTGGCATAGCCAATAAGGTGCATTATGTCCTTGAACCATGCCCTCTGCCCATGTGGCAGGCGTGGCTCTGGCACTAGGCAGGGCGGGCGTACTGGCTCATCCTCTCGCTGGAAGACATGCTCCAGCTGCTCACTCTCGATCACCTCCAGCGCAATCTTGGTGATGGTCTGGGTGAAGCCGTGCTCCAGAGTCTTGCAGTAGTAGGTGCCAGCGTCCTGGCGGTACAGCTTCCGAAACAGCAGCCCCTGCTCTGTCTTCAGGATCCTTTCATCAGTCTTCACCTGCAAGAAACCCTGCGGCAATGAAACAAGGGAACACTAAAGACTGCTGGGCTTGTGCCTGCCACATGCCCTGACACCTTGCCTCCCTCCTAGCCACCCTGGCCACAGGGGATCAGACCATGGGTCTCTCTGGTACCTTCCACCCACCTGGTTCCTGCCTATAAACCCCACAGGATCAAAGCAAAGGGCCCCTGGTGTCTCCAGTCACCTAGGATCAGACCACAAGCCACCCCTGCTCTGGTGTCTTGCCACCAAGCCAGTCAGTATTAGGCACATCCAAGACATTTTCCCATACTTCCCCTTTAACTGATGCCCTGGGAATTGTCTCTTTCCCTCCCCATCATTATAGGACCACTGGCAGCTTTCCACCTGGTTCTATATGTGTATGTGTGTATTAGAGTGGGGAGGACCTTACGGTCAGGGGCTCATATATCCCCCCATACAACTCTGGCACAGGCTGTGGGAACCTTCCTCCATCTTGAGTCTATCTTGGGAATATCCAGAGTTGGGCTTGGAGATGGGGAGGGAGGCAGCCAGGCTGAGACATGAGGAGTGGGAGAGCCAGGGCTGCTTTTGAAGGTGCAGCCTGTTGACCAAGCACTCAGGGAGGAGCAGGATAAGGCTCTTGGAATGAGCTGGCTGGGCCAGTAGTGCCAGAGAGCACAGGCCAAACTCCTCTCTAGTATTACCCCAGAGATGTCAGGGGAGTAATCTCAGGAAGACCTCCCCTTTGGCTCCATTTTCACCTCACCCCATACAGAGCAAGGAATGTCTCAAAAACCCACCTGCCCAGAAGGTAGGACACCTGTGGAGGGATCCTCAAAAACTGGCCAGCCCTGCAGGGCCAGCACAGGGGACTATTTGATGTCCTCATTTGCACGGACATGCCACTGGATCTGGGGGTCGCTGGCGGTCAGCGGCCGAGGGGCACACCACACTGAAGGAACAGACTCTTCTTTCATTCCTGTTGCTCCTTCCAGCCCCCCTAGAGTCAGGTGTTTATAGGTCTGATGACCTCCAGGGGTGCTGTCTCCTGGGTAATCTTATGGCATAAGCCCAGCTGAGGGAATGTGTACAGCGCTTTACCAGCAAGGCCCCTCTGGCCTGCCTCTCCTGTGTGCGCTCAGTCATGGCTGGAGAATGGGACAGCCTGGAGCACACCACGCTCAGTACACCAGTGTAGACATGCATGGCCTGGAGACCCCCCAGACAAAATCCCACCCCCTTCCAGACCCAAGTGTTGACTGTAGGAGAGGGCTGGGGAGATCCCACAGTCACATGCCTTGGCCTTCAGAGTGCGTGGGGAATGGGGAGCTCACTGAAGTGGGAGCCTTGGGAAAGGGGCAGCGTGATGTACTGGCAGGATTCTCAAAAGCACCCCTGTTCTTCAGCAGCTGCTGGCAGAAAACAGGCCCAAGACCAGCTGGGATAAAAGCAGGCACCCTGGTGGGTCCAGGAGAGTAGGAGAGATCCTGTTAGGGGGTGAGGGTAAGTGTGAGGACATCAGAGTAGACATGGGGGATGTGGGGTGGAGGACTCACCTCATCCCTTTGCTCATCCTGGGGCCTCTGCATGAACCACTGCACAGTTGCTTGGGGTGACTTGGGGACACACTCCAGGAAGGTGCTGTTGTGCTCTGTCCCATAGACCAGCTTCTCCTCAGCACTGTCAAAATCATCCACTGGCAAAATACAGGCATTTGTTCAGAGCCCTGAGATTAATCTGGAGCCTCAACCCCAGGGCCACCAGCAAAGCTTCCCAGCCCCTGAGAATAGCCTTGCTTCTGGACAGACAAAGGCCTTTGGCCCTTGGGCTCTGAAACTTCTTCACCCTGGGTCATGTGGAAAGCCCCACAGTGCTGGCAGGATGGCCATGGCAAGTCAAGATTTGCTTTATGAGACTAAGGCAGTGTATGTCCTTGACAGAGGACTCAGTCTTCACATCGCTGGGTGATGAGACAGCATTGGGACATGGAGATCAAAGAACCCTTCAGTGCAGAGGGTCCTGCTTCATCAGTGGCCACTTGACCCATGCTCAGCACATCCCACAGGGACATGTGGGTGAGCACCGCTCCTCTCAGGACAGCACCAAGAGAGGGGAAAGGACCTGCTCAGCCACACTTAGAGCTCCTGGACCCTGCAGGAGGGGTCAGCTCCATCTAGACATTGCCATGTTTACCCAAGGAGTGAGTGGTGCATGTGAGGAGGAGAGCTGGGAGTGCTCACAGACCCTCTGGATGCAAGCCCTGGATGCTAGAGGAAAAGGACAGTCCCTCTCAGCCTGTGCTTGCAACTCCCTGCCCACGTGTTACACACAGAACCAGCAGGCTGCCTTACGGGTCAGGTTCTGATCCAGGCACTGGTGCATGGGGTTCCCGTTACGGATATCCTGGCGGCGGAATCGGCGCTTGCCCGCTGGCTGGTAGCGGGTGCAGGAGACACCATCCCAGGCACAGTATGGGTCTCGTGCCAGGCAACACTCAGCACAGGCTGTGCCATAGGTCTCACACTGGTGCAGCTTCACCTGAGCCACCCCTAGGCGGGAGCCCACGTAGAGCATTTGCTGTCAGAACACAAGAAAAAAGGATGGGTCAGGCTGGTAGCCAGAAAGGAGGGGCTCAGCCAAGATACTACATCTCCAGAGGCATCTCATGGTCCACCAGCCATCTGAGGGCTCTCAGCAGAGCAATGGGGCTGGAGCATTGTCCTCTCCAACAGACACCTGCCTCAGGACACAGTGGAAACCACCTCCCTTAGCTTAGTCTCTGGGAGATGGATGTTCACAGTGAAACCAACCATAGGGCCAGGCTCAGACAGCTCAGAAGGATTTTCTACCAGGAAAAACAGTGATGCACTAGCAAGGCTGGCTGGGGAATCCCAAGACTGGAATAATGGGGAATGCCAAGCATAAGGATGGATGTACACTGGTAGAGCTGTGACAGAAGGGCCCTGGAGTGGGCACCAGCCACTGGGATTTGGCTTCATGGGAGGAAGCCATCTTTTTCACCTCTCGTAACCAGTGTTTCCTCTAAGCTGCGCAGCGTGTGTGGCCACACAGACATGCCTGGCAGCATGGCATGAGTGCACCTGCATGGCATGAGCACGCCTGCAGGGCTGTGCACACCACGCAGCTTAGAGGGAACGCTGCATGTAACTCCTAGAGCAAACAGAACAAATAGAGACTCAGGAAGGAGAGGACCCTTCCCTAGGCGGGCAAGGAGGGTTTAACTAAAGCAAAGCAGTGAGATTACCAGGGAAGAATACCAGGAAAACTTCCATATGGTAAGAACTATCAGGCTGTGAGATGGCCTTGCAGGGCAAACCCCACTGGTCCCCTCTGTATGAAATCACCCAGCACTGGCCATTGGGTGGACAGGATGTTGTCCCCAAGGCTGCAGCTGCCACAGTGCTGAAGCATCTGCCAGTCTTCAGGCACTGAGCCTTTCTGATGGCTCTAGTCCAGCCCAGGACACTGTGCTGGTTTCCAGAAGGGTCAATACTTCCAGCCCTAACCTGTCCCAGAGTCCCTGCACAGTTGAACTGTGTCTGCATTTGTTGGGCACAATTGCTAACCAGGCTCAATTTTTCCTTATGTTTGTCCTAAACGGAAGACAGTACTCACTCGTTTGACAGAGATTTCCATGTCAGTAATGGGCGTAGGAGCCTGGGGAAGAAGAAAAGAGACAGACCTTCAGTTACAACAAGTTTCAGACATGACCACTCTTCTCTCCTCAGAAGCCCCATGTTCCCTCTTGACTATCTTCAGTTTTTCATAGGTTCAATCAGGCTCTCTGGCTCTCCACAAGTAAACACGAATGCACCCCCAGACATCAACACCTCCCCAGCATCCTGTCTAGAGCTTCCTGCTTTCTAGCAGTCAACAAATCCATATTAACACTAGTGGGAGCTACAGCTTCCAAGAATGAGGAGGCCAGCCCCTTCCCTCAGCCTCCTGCCACATTGTCACTAGCAAAGGTTTCATCCCAAAAGCCCATTCTTCCAAAGTTAGGCCTCACCCTAAGGGCTGCAGTTGTCTATCATCCCCCCCAAGGTGGTTGGGAGCAGTGGGCGCTTGGCACCTTTCAGGTTTGGGTTCTTCTAGAACTGGATTAAGGACCCAGTTCTACAGAGTCTGGAAAGCAGCCACTTTCTTTCAGGCTGATGCTCACTATTTGACTCATAGTTCTGGTGCTGGGTGAAGGAGGGCATGGGAGGGGCATCATACTAGATAAGAGCCCTCATTGGTGATGAGAGCTACAGAGAGCATTTGGAGCCACTGTTCCTATGGGAGGGAAATCACAGAGTCTGCCTGCAGGGCCCACACACTCATGCGCAGGAAGCATCTGCACGGGCTGGACCAGACTATCCTTTCTCCTGTTCCGGTTTCACAACATAGGGTTTGCTGGGCTTCTTTCCCTATGCCAGTATGAGAGGGAAACCCAGCCCCTAGCTTTGTAGGCATTTAGCCACATTGCTTATGTGCACACTAAGAGCCATACATGCTTTACGTGCAACAGTCACCCAGCATATGCTCTGCACAGAACTGCCAAGCACATGCAAGTACAGGCTGTACCTACAGCATACGCTGCCTTGGCCTAGGTTGTATCCATGAACCTAATTCCTCCCTGAAGGTACATGTTCCTGCATCCAGTACAGTCATATGGGACACGTGGAAGTGTCTGTGTACCAAGACAGAACTGCACGGGCTCTCCCATGTGCAGCACACAATATTACACATGCACGCACACATACACACACGCATACACATGCATTTTTTTCACCTTAAAAACCTGCAGCTCCTCCAGAATGACTTCTTCAGCAGCTGCAAAGTTTCCCTTCTGCAGGGCTATGACCTTCAGAATGGAGCCTGCATCTGGAAGGGAGCAGAACAAAAGCATTACTATGAGCCCTTTTCCTCAGTATCCTGACAACATCTGCAGTGGGGACAGGGGACAATTCCTGCTCCAGTAGGACAATCTTCCTGCCTCAACCAAAAACTTACTTTCAACCAGCAAGCATGAGTAAACTCCTCACTGTCTGTCAGTGTCCAGGGCTAGCACCAAACACCTGCAGTGCAGATCTATGCCAGGAAGGTCAGGACCTAAACTCAGCAAGGGAGCAACCTACCATTCGTCTTCCTTGCTAGAGTGTTTCAAGGAAATACTCTGAATCAATAAGACAATGCTGTTCCATAGCTTTCGTAGTGACCAGTCCCATCTAACACTGGTACATAGGTTTGTCCTATGAACAGTCCAGGGTCTTATCCATAGAGCTGTGCAAATAACTGAGATTTCAGTTTGCTGACTAAACCAAAAAACTGGAAATAAAAATGGCTTTGGGTTGACCTAAAAGGAACAGGCACCTATACACGTGCCAGACGTCTGCCCTGATGTGTGCTAATTAGCACATGTCAATGCAGATTCAATTAATCAAGTCTGCTGAAGGGTGCTAATTAGCATGCTCCAGCAACCTCCATATCACATGTATACAGCACCCCTGCACTTCAAAATGGCAGTGAATGAGCTTTAGTTAAAGCACCCCCAACCACCACTTTGAAGCACAGGATGCTGAATGTACATGAAACTGGGGGCACTTTAATTAGAGCCGCTCTAATTAAAGTGCCCCCTGCCACCCCAGAGCATGTAAAGACACCCATTGTTTTTCAAACTGTTTTGGGAAAATCCAAAATATTCATTCTTGAGTTGAATCAAATGTTTCATTTTTTAATTCTCCTAAACTTCTTAAAGCGATTTTAAAATAGAAGTGAAGCTACTCTAGAAGCAAATCACATTGATTTGAATAAATCAAGCCACTTTGTTTGAGGAAGGTCAAAGTGGAATATTCCGTCTTTTCAAATACTTTCCATTAGATTGGGGTTAGTTTTGACCAAAACAATTTGCCTAAAATTAATGGGAATTTGTTTCAGCTGACCTAAAACTCTTTTGATGAAAAAAATATTCAGCTGAAAAATTTTAATGAACTCTGGTGGGATCACAAGGGCACAAAGAGATAAAATGACTCACTCAGGGCCATACGTCACATTAATGGTAGTCAAGTCACCTGATTTCCAACTCCTCTAACCACTAGATATTGCTGCCTTTTCCCCCCACCATGAGAGCTGGAACCAGGTGCAGTCAGAGGCATATGGAGTTGCTACTAAGCTGCCAACTGAAATATTATTAATGAAAAAATGAGTTTTATTCCAAAATGGACCTTAGAGCCAGGAGACTATTTCCGCTCTATTCAGCCATCCCACCAGGGTTAAACCCCATCAGACTTAGCAGTGTTGGCAGCCCTGGTGTAGATAGGCCTCTCCCACCATTTTAAACCCCATGTTGATTAGAACTGCTCTGAGCAGCAGCTGAACTACCCAGAGAAGGAAAACCCAGAGGGGACATGCTTGGGGAGATGTAGCAGAGAATGGCTGGCATTGCCAAGGCCCCAGGAAATCTTCTTCCACTCTGTGGCCCACCTGTCCCCAGGAACATGACATCATACTGCCCATCCTCTGCTTCCACTCGATCCACTACGATCTGATGCAGCCGGTGTTGCAGGTTGGTTTTCACCAGCACAGGCTGGCGGTGCACTGGATACACAGGCTTGTACATCAGAGGGTGAGCACGGGCAAAGTGCAGCACCTCATCAGGGTAGTCCTTGGTGGTGCCATACTGCCGACGGGGCTGGTTGGTGGTCTTGCTGGGACACTGGCACAAAGCAAGAGAGACAGCATTTCATCCTGTTGTTTTTGCCCCTGACACTAAATTTGCTACAGCAAGAGAACCCACTTCCAACCTTGTTATCCCAGTGCTCAAGAGCCACCTGCTGTGCTATAACAAGGGCTTTGGGATCTTCACTTCAGGATGTCACCTGGGCTTCAGCAGATTTTCAGCTCAGATCCATTCTCCTGGCAGCCCAGGTGGAAGCCTGTTGTATCAGATCCATCCTGCTAGCTTCCCCCATGCCAGTCCTGCTGTGCTATTTCCTCTTCTCTTATCCAACCATGGACACAGACCAGGGATGGGTGGCGGGGCAAGGCTCTACCCAGCGTTGTTATCTTGGATGAAAAAGTATGATACTGGGGGCTGGACAAATGCTGCTTCCCTAAGCCTGGAATAGCTCACTGGCCTCCATGAAATACCCCAGAATGGATATGACCTCCAGAAATGGACCCTGATGATGGTCCCCAAGAGAACAACTGCTGAAAAGTTTGAGTCATGAGGCTGCCACCAACCCCTGCTGGTGTCATGTGCAAAGTGGCAGCCCACCTCTCCAAGACAATGAAGCTATAATGACCTGTAATGACTGTGTGCACAACTAGCCCAGCCTCTGACAAGGCCAGTCCCCTCCAACTGTTCTCCAAACAAGAATATGAATTACTTACAACTCCAGGCCTGGGGTATGGCACCTTGCCCTCATAGGCAGCCCACTGGTGATCAGGGCCATCTTTATGGGCAAAGGGCCCATTGAAGACCTCCCAGATGTCTGCCATGCGATACACACAGATGGCAAAGCCTTGGAATACATTGCTGAAAGGAGAAAGGGTGCCCCAGTCAGGCCCCATTGTGGGGAAGGGTGGTTAATTTTGTGCCCAGCTTTAGGCAATCATTCTGTGAGCAGCACTAGGGGATGAGCCCAAGGGAACAGGGGCATCGAAAGGTATTACACCAAAAGCAAACTGGAAGTCACGGGGAAATTAACATCCTAGAGGGCTAGGACTCAGTCACCAGCTCCCAGGCAACGATGAGGAACTGATATGTGACTCTCAAACTCCTCAGATCGATTGCACTGCCCCAGATGAACAGGGATTAAGTACAATTAATGCTAGCTGAGAACATAACAAAAACATTAGTGAAAATACATCTATCTACTCAGTGTTATAGGCTTAAATACAAGAATCTTAGCTATCAAAAGGCAAGGAAACAATAAAGTAACTTGAATAAAGAGTCAAATACCCTGACACAAACACAAACCTGGGCCTGGCGATATTAATACCAAGTATCTAAACAATAGCCTTAACTCTGACCCACAAAGCACACTTACCAACAGACATGTTTTCTATCTCAGCTCACAAAAAGACTGGTCTGGAAGATGTTATGCATTTAATTTGAGACAGCTGTTAATATACCGACTGTATCTATATCCATCTTGCTCCAGATTATGTTAATAACTACGCTCCTTCAAAGCCAGTCACATAGCACTTTCTGCCAGCACTCTGTTACTGCTTTAAATGCCAGAGTATGAAGCTATTATGCTATCTTGGAATTAGTGCTACTATATTATCCTAACACATATGAATACATTTAGGAATACCACATGTTATGCTTATTTATCCCCCTGAGGATTTGTCTTAGTATACCCCAAACAACTCAGTATTGATTGTTAGCCTCATGCAGTTCACCTCCTACCACATGATATAATTATGAGACTAAATAATTTCATTACTGCTTAAATGATCAGCATGTTGGAACTGAGACCACCTTTGGGTGGTGTTTGTACTGCACTTAGCACAAAGAGAGTGTAACCTCTAAATGCTATTGCAAAATAAGAATAAAAGAGAGCAACAGGGGAAAAGAAGAGTAGGGTTAGAGTTATGGACTTGATTAGAGGGTCTGCTGCTAATTTTTCATGGCAGCAGGAGAAGAGTTGTTGCAGTATTACAGAAAATAAGAGGACATATGGGCTGTGAGCTGTTACCTGATGGTGCTGAAGAGAGCATAGATCTCTGGGCTCTTCCCATCTTTGGTCCACAGTAGGAAGATGTCCTCTATGACATTGAACACAGGGTCACCAGGGAGGTTCAAACCACTCCCCTCCACACACCCACCTCAGGCCAGACATGCCAAGTCTCAGAGCCATATGAGAAGGGGGTGGAAGCTCGTCTTACCCAGATCATCAAAGTAAGTGTCTATCCCATCAGGACCAGGAACAGAGCACACCAGCCGGGCTTTGTTGAAGGTGCTCCACTTGTTGACCAGGACTCTCTGGCCCCCTGCATCGTTCTGGAAGGAGAAGAAAGGACTCTGCTTGACATGAAGCTCACAGGGTGGTGCTGCCTGCAAGGCTGGGACAGTGCTGCTTCACCCCTTCAGGAAATGAATCTGGCTGGGACTCATGGATGTTGTTACTGACTGGGGGAGATTGATCTAGTGCACTGACTCTCCCAATGAGACCCCGAGAGACACTAAAAATCCATGGCCACTTTGGAAAGCGTGCCTTTTTCAGTCCGGCTCCCAGAAATGGACAGCTTGCCTCTGTTTCTCCATCCCTAAGTCACACAGAAAAGAACTGGAACCACTGCTGTTAGTCACATGTAGAGGCTTTGTGCCATGGGGCTACGTGGTGTGTGTGTGAATGCAGACCAATCCTGGCTAGTGCCAGGCTTGGAGCATTGGGCTAACTTCACTCACATACCTGTCCTGATCTAAAGCACCCAGCTGCTCTAGCTGATACCCTAGATCTCTCTGCCAGTGTCTCTCACTCCTGATCCAGATCCCCTTCCTACTCCAGTCCTAGGCTTTCTACACAACTGTTTCAATGCAGTTCAGTCTGGACCTACAGACTCCACCTCTTGCAATTCCAGCAGAGATTGTCTCAAAGATACGGATGAACTGAAAGCAGCCTGGCCAAGTAATTTGACTAGTGGCCTCTGCCACGTTTGAATGTCAGGGTCAGAGGCTTGGCCCAAGCTAAACCCTCCTGGAGACACTATGGATTTACAAAATGGACTTGAAGCTGCCCTCAAACGGTAGCTGGGGATTGCACCTAGTCCAGGAATCACTTGTCCTCTCCTCCACCCTTAAGGCACAGCTGGCTGTAGACATTACAGTGATGGGGACAGAGGAATGTTCTTCTCTGCAGGAGCCAAGTGGCACCTCTAACTTTGTTCCTGGAGCTGATCCAGCCCAAGGATTAGGGGAGAGAAAACTGCAGCTCAGAGATGCTTCTCCGCCACACTTAGCTGGGAGCATTAGCTCAATACAGCAGAGGATGGAGTCCTGGATGCACAGTGGTGGGAGGGCAGAGCACTGACCCCTGGGGCCTCGCTGCTCACTAGGGAAGATTCACCCACCATTGTGCCCATGGGTTCCCTATGTCCAGGGTATGGTAAATAGCATATAGTGAGGCTTTGCTCCTGACAGCAAGCAAAGACCCTCCTTGATCTCAGTCAGCAAGGGGCCCCTGCTGGAAGCTGGGGGGGAGAGGGGGAGTTCTTGCTCTCCCCTCCAGCTTCTCACACAGAGTTCCTTTCTAAGTAGCAGCCAATAAATAACCAACACATAACCTCTTTGTTGCTGTGGTAATTTCTGGGGTTCAGGTGACAGCAGGGAGCTTGTGGCTGGCAGCATTTGTCTGTGGGGATTCTCCTTTCTCTGCACAGGCACACACTGCCCAGAGCCTGTTCCAAGGCAGTGGCCCCCACACTGAGCAACTGCAGAGGCTGCCATGATATCTCTTGAAAGATGTTTCTCTCCTGCCCTCCTGGGATCTCTGGGGCCTGCTAACTCCTGCTTGTGAATGATGGGGCTGAGAGTTGAGTCACTGCCTTCCAGGTGCTGTGCCAGCTCTATCACAGTGCCTTCCCCAGGCTTCCCAGAGCCCATACTCCACTCCTGCCCCACATTGCTAACAGACTTGAATGGGTTTCATATGGATGGCAGAGAAGGGCAGGGATCTTTCCTCCAAGGCCAGGGAGGTCAGAGACTCCAGCTCCTCTTCAAGCATCTAACTGATCACAGCAAGACATAAGATTTGTCATAACTGACCAAGGTGATTCAGAGCAACTATGAGGCTAATCCAAGAAAATACGCAGGTCTGCTAATGGTCCCTGATACTGAGACTCATGAATCAGTACAGACTGTAAGACCAAGGATTGCTTTAGCTTTGCCAGCTGGCCAAGCCTTGGTGTTTGGTTTAGATCTATGTCCCCAGGGTTTGTGAGGGATTAATGCTGTCAGGTTTGCGTGCTAGTGCTGCATAGAGGCAACGGTCCCGAGGAGGCCTGGTGACACATTGCAGTGAAGCTCATCCATCACTACATTTAATTGAGTGATGTCACTGCAGCTGTGAACATAACAGCTGTTGGTCCCTTAGGCCAGGAAGATGCATGAACTTGACATCTTCCTTATGCTGAAACACTGGAGCCATCCTGTCCAAACAACAGCCAAGGGTTCCCAGGGAGAGGCAGGGGTCAGCCTTCGAGATTCCAA